GAGAGGTTCCCCAAAGGCCCCAGGCTCATCAGGGAACATCAGAGCAGTGTAACTTTGATCAAGTTCCTTGACCTCTTTGAGCCTCAATTTCCTCATCTGTAAAATGGGAGTTAGGAGTACCTCCCTCAGAGTGTTTATAAAAAGTAAATTCCTACAGCACACTTAGCTCAATACCTGGCATAGAGTATGCACTTACTAAACTTTGCTATTCCATCGTCACTATTAGTAGTAGTAGTAATAGTATTACCATTCATTTGCCAGCTTCTTGAAGACAGAAACAGTGTCCTACTAGAAACAGAATTCTGGTAGAAAGAACCTTGAAGAAACTTTAGCCTAAAACCTCCCAAACCTGGGAAGTCATTAAAGTTTCAGATACACAAGTGCTGCCCAGACCTACTAAGGGAATATTTGAGGCAAGAGGTTGGGCATTTATATTTCTAGCGAGCCCTCAGGAAGCAGGCATGGGAACTATTCAACTAGCCCTTGCACTGGACATAAAGATAGGGAAAATGGGAGTCCAAAGGAAAAGTCCTTTGCTTGCCCACAGCTCCTGCTGAGGATCAGAAACTGGTCATTTATCCTAGCTACATTGCTTGGATGGTACCTCATCTCCACCACCACCACCACCACCATCCCATCCTGCTGCACAAATCTCTGATACACGTCAGAGAGCTAAAGTATTTCCAGTGAAGAGGAATTCAGCATGTGATAAGGATGCTTGATCCACTGAACATCTAGCTCTCCAGCATTTTCTTTTCCTCAACCGAAATACGGAACAAAGAAAGTTCTTAGCCAGGCATACAAGGCCCTCCCTGGCCTGTCCCCCACTGATGTCCCCAGTCTCCCTTCCCACCAAGATCTCATCTATAACCTAACTCCCACCCAGCCTGAGGTCACTGGGATGGGGGGGGGTCTCACATCTGGCATACAAGAATCTCAAGGGCAGATGGATGGGGAAGGGAAGGTGAATGTGTGTATGGAACCCACTGCAGAGTTCTGGGACTTGACAGCTCTTTGCTTTGCCAGCACAAAAGAATCAAGTGGCATACTTCTGTGCTTGTGCAGCCAACCTAAAATCTATTTTTGAAATGGAACTCCTCCAACCGGAAACACACTTTGCAAACTCTGCTAGAAGCTACCAAAATCATGCAGGGCCTTCCATCATGATACAAGAGTGCCCACCGGCACTCTACTCTCCCACCTTCTCATCTCATTCCCTCTGCCCCTACAGAATTGCTGGTTTCACAGCTGTGTGCTTTTTTCCCATCTTCCATGGTCTCAAATGAGACCTCTGCAACCAAACCAGATCACGTCTCTTGCCCTGATAATGTACCACTCTCCCAGAAATCTTCCAGGACCCAGCCTCCTAAACTGATCCTGGCTCTAGATTCCTATTATGCCACAATCCATGCACTCACTGCCTGCTACTCCATGGTAAGGAACAGGAGCCAGGGCCATGAGATCCTGAGTTTATACTCTTGGCTGTAAGGGCAGGGACAGCTTCTTTACCTTAGCTCTGCCGGCCCCATAAAAGGGACCGGTGCCCATAGCAACTCAGTAAATGGGGTATTTGGCAACCCAATAGCTGTTCAACAGTCCCAAGGCGAATGGCACCCAAGAACAAAAGAGGTAGATAAATCACAAGTCATACACCACTATATGCCCAAAAGCAAGCAGCTGCTCAGTATGAGTGAATGAGTAAATAAATGCACAGGGATGCTTTGGTGTCACACAGTTGCATCCCAAACCTAGCTCCACCACTTTAGGGGCAGAGAGAACTTGTTAAATTGCTTAACAGTCCAATGTAGGTTTAAGACCTGCATCTCAGGTTTATTGCAGATTATGAAGATCACTGATCATATGGTTTACAACAGCACCTGCCTCAGCTCCAAGAGTATGGTTATAAGATGCTGTCTTAAGAGCAGTCCAAAATAATCAACTTGCCAAGGAAGAAAAGGATAGGTAAAAGCTGCCAGATTTCTAGGACACATCCAGGTACAAACAAAACTCAAGGGTGCTATATTAAGGCAAACCAAAAGCAGCAGAGATTCACTGGGCAGTAAGTGCCCCTTTTTCAGAACCATCTCTAGCCTCTCTTCTCACCACTCTTCAGACCCTGAGGCTGGATGTAGGTCAATGGTAGAGCACCCACCTTGTATGCACAGACCCTGGGTTCAATCCCAGGGCTCATTAAAACACAGCTTCCCACCAGGGCTCTTTGTTGATTCTGCTTAGTAAAAGCAACCTTAATTTTTTTTGTTGTGGGACTGGGGTTTGAACCCAGGGCATCCGACTTGCAAAGCAGGGATTACTGCTTGCATCACACCTCCAGGCCTTTTTCTCTGGTTATTTTTGGAGATCAGGATCTCAGGAACTACTCGGCCTCAAACTGCAATCCTCCTCATCTCAGTTTCCCAAGTAGCTAAGATTATAGGTTTGAACCACCAGTGCCCAATAAACCTTGCATTCTTATGCTCTTCCAAAGCCTACTGGCAGCAAAGTGCTGTCTGGTACTGTCAACTAGGTGCAGAATCCTCAAGACTCTTTAAGTTCAATAGCACAACTGGCCACAATTTAAAGCCAAGTTCTTGCTTCCTGTCTCAGCTGTTTGGCACTTCAATTTTGACTTTTCAATCCTTTTGAGAGTCAAAAAATAGCCTGTCAGGGCAGCAGAACAGGTACCCTTGAGAGCCCCCATTTAAAGGAAGCTAACCCAAACAAGGGACCGAGATAGACTAGATGTAAGAAGTCATTCAGAGAGGACACAAGCCAGGGAGCAGGCCTGAAAGGGTGAAGAAGGTTGGCTATAGCAGCAGAGGCTGGTGGCCTGTAGAAAAATGCCTATTCTGAAGGATGCAGCCAGCCCTCTATCTACACCGTCATGAAGGTATACTACACTGGCTTCTCTTGTATATAAAACTTGCTATGTTTCAAGTCTAAAAAACTCACAGGCAAAACGACCAGCTTGAGTTTTAACATCCCAGCCCAGGCAGTTTCTCTAGAAACAGGCCCAGCTGGCATTAATCCCTCTTTAGAGCTGGAGTTTCTGTGATGGCACTTCCCTGAGCAGACTCCACAGGAAAAGCTTCCATACCTTGTGGCTCCGATGCCTGCCTCCACTCCATGCAGAGGCTCCCTGCAGCTTTGATCCTTGTTATCAGCCTGATACCTGGAAACTACCTTCTGTGCTTCAGTCTGCATTCCACTGGTTCCACTAGGCCTCTTCTTCCTAATTCCATTTTGCACTCACAGGCTACTCATTTCTTAACCTCTCTAGTCCCTCATGCTAACTCACAGGACACTTCATCTTCCACCGCAACTTTTGCTGTCTCCAGGTCTGATCTTTGGCCTCTCAAAATTGCCATGTCTCAAGGCCAAGCACTCATGATTGTAATCCCAGCTAAGCAGGCAGATAGGAGGATCCTGCTCTAAGGCCAGCCCAGGCAAAGACTCGAGACCCAATCTGAAAAACAACCTAAGCAAAAAGGTTGTGGGCGGAGTTCAAACCCCAGTACTGCCAATATATATGTCATCTCAAATTCTACTTAGTGACCACAGGAGAAGAGGGAGAACTGAAGCTCACTGACCTAACACCCCACTCTTTCATACTTGCCCTACCTTTAGGTCATCTGATCCTAAACTGCTGCAAGGGAGAGATTCCATAGTAGAACCCACGGGGCCATGGGTGAGCTGCAGCAGGGCTACAGATATAGCAACTCTGGAGCCAGCAGGTTCAACTCCACAACTTCCCTCTTCATGTCCCTATCTCCAATCTTACTATGCCCTCTTCAAAACATTCTGTGCTTACTTCTGCAGCCCTCATTCCCCTTCGTGGCTAATGCTTTCTTGGATCCCCTTCCAGCCCAACCAACCAGGTCTTCCAGTTGTCTATTGACTGGAGACTCCACATTGTCCATCCAGGGTTAATAGCATTTACAAGCCTAAAAGGAAGGTAGTCCCACCTATGGTGCAAACCAATCAATAAACATGATCTCCAGGAGAAAATGTCATCTAAAATCCATAAACCACCAATGCCTCAAGCTCTCTGCCTCACCTTTCCTATCCTCCCTCAAAAGGCACTGTGCCAGGCTTAGGCCTGTAATCCTAGCTATCAGGAGGCAGAGATCATGAAGACTGTGGTTTGAAGCCAACCCTGGGCAAATGGTTCACAGGACCCTAACTTGAAAAAATTCATCTCTCTCTCTCTCACACACACACACACACAGAGCTAACGCAGTGACTCAAGGAGTAAGCCGAGTTCAAACCTGTCCCGCAAAAAAAAAAAAATTAAAATGTATAAAAAATAAATTTAAAAAATAAAAGCTGAAGCACAATTTTCCATGTTTCATAAAGCCCATTTCCAACTACACAACTTATCAACCAGGCAATCATACACTACAGCCATTCAACCAACTACCATCGCTCTCAAATCCCCCTCTCACAAAGCTCATAAACCAACCTGCGATATAAGTGAGACAGATCCTATTTATTTTGTAGGCAAGTGAAGATCTGATCTAGTAAGTTTAACTTCCTTTTCTAATTTTCTTTTTGTTTTTTTTTTTTTTTTTGGAGATAGGGTCCTGCTATGTAGCTCAGGCTGGCTTCAAACTCACCATCCTCCTCCCTCAGTCACCAGACTGCTGAGATTACAGGTATGCACCACCATCCCCAGCAAGTTTAACCTTTTAATAAGGTCAGGAAATAGATTTTTAAGTAATAAGCACTTAGTAGGAGTCTAGGAACACTTAAAAGGGATTCAGACTCCAAGTGTCTCTTCTGGAGATGACCCACTAGGGCAGTAGCACTCTCATAGTGGAGACCCACCTGCCATTATCCTCCTCCTAATAAAGGAAAGACAAGCATCACTCCATTATGCCAAGTTTTCACCAAATGTTCAATGCAATGTGTGAGAGCAAGTAGCAATTTAAGCCTGTAAAAACAAGGGGCTAATGTTGTAACACCTCCCAGCCAGTAAACTTCAAGTGTATTTCAGAGCCAGACACATGAAAGCGTTGAGTTTATTAATCCTCATGAAAAGCCCAAAACCATCACAGATGTTTACAGTTTATTAATCCTCATGGAAAACCCGCACAATCATCGCAGTTAAAGTCATTGTAGAATCCTTATTCCTTCGGCTGTGAATCAAGAAAAAGAGGTTTTGTCAGCAACTGGGTTGGAAGTTCTTTAAAACCTAAAGTTCAAAAGTCTTCAACAAACTCCAACACTAACAACACTCATGCAGAACAAATATTAGTAACCTAGAAGTTACATTTTTGAGATCGTAACATGATACAAGTATGAAGTTAAACTCACAAACATTCAAGTTAGAAATAATGAAACAAAACAAGCTAAATATCACTACATTTTAAAAACAAACCATGTCACTGTTAGTACTTTAACAGGTTACAACCCTGGTGCATTTGCAAATCTACTCAGAAATGTGTTTCATGTGATCTTTTAAACTACTGCACCAGTAAACCAAGGAGTCTAGAAATCTACAGAAGAGCTTAAATTATACCTGTTATCCAATCTCCAGCTCACTGAATCAGTGGCAGGAAAGGGAAAAAGGAACAGGGGAGAGGAAAAACAAATAGTTCATTAGAGTCCCTTTTTCAAACTACAAAATAATCTATATTTATGTGCATGCAATCAGGTACCTTAAATGTGATGTTTTGTTCTTTGTAGTTGTATACGAAACACTCAAGACACAACCATTGGTTTTATTCCTAATTCTGAGAATACCCTGCCTGATTACTGTAGCTGTAATGTTAACAAGGTGGCATGATGACTTCACTATGATGAAGTGATCATTATGCTAACACTGTACCACATCCAGGCTGCCACTACCTGTGGATGGAGCACACCTACCTGTGTCTGGGTCCCTCTGCTCTCCTGAGCATTATGCTGAGCACACACCATCCACAAATCTGGGACTCATTACACCTCTGATTTAGCCCCAATGGAAGAACTCTAAATTATCAGGCAAGTCTTTTTAAAACTGTCTCAGTTCAATACTTTTAAAAGACACCATTCACAGCCACAAAAATAATACAAATTAGTATTAAACTCAAGGCAGAACAGCTGAAGGAACAATGCTACAGCTGCTATTCAAATGAGAATACTTCATGCCTCAGTTTCTCCACTGCACCCTCAAAAGAAGAAAAAGTGCCAATTCTAACATCAAGTAAAACTGAATTAAAAGGAGCATTTTTTTGGTGCTGGGGATTGAACCCAGGGGCTTGTACATGCTAAACACCACAGGAGCTATGCCCCCAGCATGATTTTTTTTTTTTTAAGACAAAGCATAGTGCTCATCTATACTCATTTTCCAACTGGCCGTTCAGGACAATGCCAGTGAGATTAACAGTGCAACCCCAAGCAGGAATAGTGATGGCTCAGGTCCCCACAGGAAGCCCCTCTAGTACAGGAGGGATTGGGGTTGAGCATTAACACATGGGAATACCAAGGCTGAGTAAAAAAAAGAATGAGTGTGCTCAATGTCCTTCAGACTTAAGTAAGAGAACCAATTATGAGTGCTTTTTTGCATGTTCTCTCATCAGGTATAATGATTCTACAGTTCAGACTGTGTTTACTTTAACTCCATGGCCCTGGGAAGTCAATCTGACTACACCTGGGAAGGCATCCTGCCTTGCCTGGCAGAGTGTAAAAGGAAGCCACAGAAGCAGTGGCCACCACCATTTCAAACCCTACTGCCCCACCCAACATCTAGCCTACTTCAAAGTCATAAATTTAGGCTGTTTAAATGTGCAAACTGTGTGTGAAACAAAGCAATGGACCATTCTGACCAAACACTTGTGGGGAAAGCTTTCTCAAAGACTTCAATGTGAACATAATTCTCAAAGTTTTCTATTTAAAAGGAGGTGGGAGGGGCACACGGGATAAAAAAGTTGGAGATTAATAAGCAATGGAAAAAGTAAACACTAGCTGTGAGTGGATGCTACCAGGACAGAGGCTTTATCAAAATTCTTGGGCTAGTTTAGGACCAGAACTGCCAAAAAATCCAATGGGCTCAGTTTCAGAGGGGAAGACTGCTAGAGGGCCACCTTCCCTAGCCATGTTGGATAAAGCGAACTGACTCTGGGATACAGCATTTCTTAAGCTCAACTGAAAAAGAACCCATTTGGTAGGGCACTTATCTCCCTCCAATGAATCACTTCGCCATATAACATGCATTTGATTTTCAAAGTTAACAAATTCTCTTTGTTCATAAAACACTACTTTAAAGAGCGCATTGGCATTCTAATAGACCATACTACGAAACTGCTGTCCAACATGCAAAGCATCAAAGCAACCTCAGTGAAGGTGATGCATCCCCACACCGTGCTCATAATCTCAGTACCTGCTAGACACTTCATTTCTGATGAACAAGAAATCCAAGAGTAGAGGAAAAGGCAAAAAAAAAAAAAAATTCACAGAACACTTAATTATTTAACCCAACACCTTAATTCCATTCACCTATTCACAATCAGGTAGCAAAGCTGGTAAAAAGTGCTTCCATTAAAACCACATAGGTCTAAGCTAACTGGAGGAAAGCAATTCTGAGATCTTAGATGCCAGAAAAATGTGGGCCACATTGATCCAACTGTTTCTTAAACCAGTGTCCAAGTTAATAAATTAAGTTAAATCCCAAGGAACAGGATCTGCACCCCCTGTTCATGTAATTCATGAATTACAGTTCATGCCAACTAGCAGTAAAAGGAAAACTTTGCCCACCAAAACAAAAAAAATTATTGAACAAATGTGGCCCCATGTTGTGCCAATCTATGAGCGCAAGAGGGGCGGGCCAGGCTACTCTAAGGAAATTAACATACTACTACGCTACATAGCTTCTCCAAACACATTACCTTCTGTAATCCAGGAGAGAAAAAAAAAAAAACATTAAAAGTTATTAACAAAACCCTCCCTTTACCAAACTAAAGACCTACAATTCATGACATTTCTGTATGCTCCTTGAATCATACCTTTTTGCCAGCACCAACATTGGCCTTTGCTGTCCCCCTGACTTTCTTCATCCTATTTTTACGTTCCTTTCGCTGTTTCCTTGAGGTCTTTTTCTTCTCATACAGGCCATGCTGAGAGAGAGGAGTTTATGTAGGTGATTTGCAAACATTGACTCACCATTACCCACACTCTTATAGGAAAACTGGAGTTAGAGGGCTTTGAAACACAGCTTTTCATTTTCTTCAACCAGCTTCCCTTTCAGCGTTTCTCACTTTCATCTTTTTCTCTCTGTGGACACTGAAACTTCTACAGAACCCCACCCACCCCACCATTGAGATTCTGACCTACTCATCTTCACTTGGCCAACCTCCGCACTTGCTGGTTCCTGCTGCCTTAACACTATTTCCAAATCTTTACAAGGGCCTTAGCTTCAAGTCACCTCCTCAGCAAGGCCTACCCAGAGCACCAATTAAAAAACAGTGTACTAGCCACGCATCAGTGGCTCATGCCTATAATCCTAGGAGGCAGAAATTAGGAGGATCACGGTTCAAAGCCAGTCAAGCAAATAGTTCCCAACACAAAAAAAGGGCTGGTGGAGTAGCTCAAGTGGTAGAGTGCCTTTCTAGCAAGCATGAGGCCCTGAGTTCAAACCCCATTACCAAAAAATAAGAACACTGCAGTATCAGCCAGTTGTTTTTCAGATAGGATCTTGAGTTTTTTCCAGGGCCGCCTTCCCAACAGATGGAATTACAGGTGGGAACCACAGCTGCCTCATCCCTACTTTCTACTTAGCTCATCTCTACAAGCACTATTTTATCCATCTTTCTAAACCCAACCTAAATGCCAGACTCCAAATCTGAACACTCATACTCTACTTGTACATTAATCAATCTTTCATCTTAACATTTTTAAATTCCTTGTATGTTTGTATGTTGTTCCTCACCAGACTGCTTGGTCTTGTATTCTACCACACCCACAATGCTATCGGATAACCAAATCTTCAATAGCTGTTGCACAAAAGACACTTACCCTAGCAAGTCTGTGTTTGGGTTCATTTTTCTTTGCATAATCCAAGGAATCATAAATCATGCCAAAGCCAGTTGTCTTTCCACCACCAAAATGGGTTCTGAATCCAAATACAAAAATGACATCTGGTGTAGTCTTGTACATTTTTGCTAGTTTTTCACGAATTTCTGTCTTAGGTACTGTTGCCTTCCCAGGATGAAGGACATCGATGACCTAAAAGGAGACAAAATGTAGTGTTCATTATAATAAAACAAATCTCCAAAACAACCAACCAACCAACCAACCAACCTGTGAGGTGCCCTCCTCACCATCTGCTTTCTCTGAAGTAGGCGATTGGTCATGAACTTCCTGGTGCGGATAGTGACTGTGTCATTCTGGAGGAAAAAAAGTCATGCTCATTAATAAAACCACTCAACTTTTTCCTGACTGTGTGGTGACTTCCCAATAGCTAAAACTCTGCTTATTTGTAGCCGCTAGCCATGTGGAAATAAATAATTAAGAGCCACATGGGACAAAGGCAAGCCCTAACAAAACAGAGTAACAAAGGTTTTCTATCAAACTGTACCTCTTACGTATCCCTATGAGCAGGGAACCTCAACATTACTGATTTTGTGGTCTAAATAATTCTTTTTTTGTGGGGATTGTCCTATGTATTATGAAATGTGTTAAGAAGCTCTGGCCTCTAGTAAACACCAGAGATACCCTCTAGTTCTGACAACCAAAAATGTCTCCAGGCTTTGCCAACTATGTTTCCTTGAGGGAAAATCACCCCCAGGTGAAAATCAGTGACTCAGAAGTGTTGCATTCAACAAAACCCAGTTTAGAACATCCTGTTGCAGGTACGCCCTGCAACGTTATCTACCTTTCTTGAAAAGTAACAGAGCTCACAAGAAAACCTAGTACTTTCTGAACGACAGAACGCCTTATTATTTCACAGGTACCAAAGAACGTGGGCACATTGCTAAAACAAAAGATTTTTTAATAAGAATGGGGAGAGCCTTGTCAGGAGCAACTGACTTGCTATACTGTATTTCCATTTCAGTTTGAGAAACCACAACAATGAAGTTCATCATAACAGTATTTACTTCTTGGAAAACACTTCTTGATAAACACAGCTTTTGGTGACGGAGCTAACTAGGGGGGACTTTGGGCAAGGATACCTCTTGGTGGCATTCCTTTCCTAGGATTGCCCAACAAGAGGCTCCATTCAGACTTTTCTAGCTCACACGCAGGTACCGTGCCCAGGCGCCAGGACCCCTTCTTCACCTCTCCAGCTTGCCATCATCTGCAATGCGTCTCGTAGTCTCCCCCCACCCCACGCGCCATCCTCTCTGCTCCAGAACATGCACAGCTGAGGTTTCCGCTGTCCCGAGGCCCTGGAGCTCGAAACCCGGCACGTCCTGGCCGGCAAAGCAGCCGGCCAGCGAGCCCCGACTCTGCGCCGGCGAATCCGGAGTCCCAGACAACCGGCCTCGGTAAGACATAGCCAGGGAAGAGGAAGAGCGCCTCGGACGGCCGCAGCTCCGGCGGAGGGACCGGGGGACGAAGGATGGCTCGGATTTGCAGCGGATAGCGCCCCAAGCCTGGCGAGACTCACCATGATGGCGGGTGATCCTCAGGCAGTCAGGAGGAAAAGAGGGCTGACTTTCGCTGGCCAATCATATCAACACGTACGGAAGGACCCCGGGCGTCGCGCTCGTAGGGGCGTGTCCAAGAGCGTGAGGACGACCGCGCCAATGCCTGACTGAAAGTGCCAAAGGCCCCGCCTCGCTGACCATTGGCCACACCCCCTGGTATTTCGGACTGGCCAATCCGGAGACGGAACATCTCAGGTTTGTGCAAGCACGTGTTCCAATTCAATTCAACGAGTTGAGTAGTTCCTACGCGTACCCCGAATCTTGGTTAGCAGAATTATAGTTTAAGTTCTTTCCTTACGAGTTAGAGGAGGGTGATACGTATTGCTGCACGCTTTATTATGCCCAAGAATTATTTTTTAAGATTTTTATGGTGATTCTCTGATTAAAGCCCTTTTAAAACTTGTCTTTTTCTGAAACCTTAGTTCTTACACAAACAATATGAGCATTTGCTTGATCCAGAAATTTGTCTTGCTTAATGTGAGACAGATCTGTAAAGATAAGTAATGTAAATGTGCACATTCCAAGGGAAACAGTAGGAAAAACTTCCCAAGGGTTCAGTGTGGCGGAGACCTGGGTGCTGGCTTCAAGTCAGCTTATTGTTTTGTTCGGAATAGTAAAATCAGTTAATACTCACTGAGTGACTGCTAGATGCCTGTTACATTCTAATTTTTGTTACCAGAACTGGTGAGGCTCCAGGGAGGCAGTCTCTACCTGGCCATTGGGTACTTGGCTCTGAGGTTGTTGCAAAACAGAATTTTAGGACACATTGAGGTAGAGACCAAGAAAGTTCAGTATAGTGCAAGACTCAGAAATGGGTATAGGCACAACTGATAAGCGCAGTAAGAGCTCTAACACCAGGTATTTATCGTGAAAAAGTGGGCTTGGGGTTGGGCTAAAATTTGCCTTAAGACAACTGTTCCTCTTTGTTCTAGGTACCAGGTACTTATCTAATCATTCTTGCTGTTTCACTCTTTTGTGAACTGGTCCCAGAGATATTTGAGCATCCCTTTGAACAAAGGATGAGCTCTGACAGATGATTTATCCATCCTTAATGTAAATATTTTCCTTTGCACATCTTTTTGAAGTTTTACCAAGGATTGATTTTAGTATAACAGGATAAAGTATAGACAACGGGAGGGGAGGAAATGGAAGCAAAGACTACTTCTTTGCTCATTCATGACCAAAGGACTCATTTTACCATTTTTTTTTCTTTCAGGATAAGTATTTATTGGTTGTTGTTTTGGTGGTACTGGGGTTTGAACTCAGGACCTCTTGGTCCATCGCTTGAGCCACTCCACTAGCCCTTTTTTGTGTAGGGTATTTGTGAAATAAGGTCTTGAGAGTTATTTGCCCAGGGTTAACCTCAGTGATCCTCCTCTGATCTCTAATCTCTACCTCTGGAATAGCTAGGATTACACACCAGCACCCAGCAAGTGTCTTTTTATTTTTCTTTTTAGTGGTGAGGCTTGAACTCAGGACTTTCACGGTGAGCCACTTCACCAGCCTTTTTTTGTGAAGGGTTTTTTCCAAGGCAAACTATTTGCCCCGGCTGGCTTTGAACCGTGATCCTCCTGATCTCTTTCTCCTGAGTAGCTAGGCTATTTTCTTTTATTTTTTAAAAATATTCTTCCACAGTTCCCAGAGTGCAGTAAGCATTTGAACAAGTAGGCAAGGTCACAGGAAGAGAGAAAAAAAAAAAAACACTAAATGTTGCAGCTTAGTGAGGGAGTGTAAAGCTTAAAGCAAAGAAACTAGTACCTGTGTGCTTTTAATCAATTTATTAGTATGATGTTTATCAGTGAATCCCTGGCTGCTGTTTCCCATGACTCATTTCCCCAATCAAGCCTGCCTCACTTTGCCTTCCTCTTGCCATTTAACCTCCTCAATTCTAAGAAATAAGGTACGCACCCTTTTTATACATGGGGTGGGGGGGAAACTAGGACACGATGAAAGTAAATAACTTTCCCAAGATCACACACCTTCTAAGGAGTGATACCTAGATATCCATGGCACAGTGAATCCAAGACCTTCATGCCCAACCTCTGGATGGTAGGGCACTTGTGGATGGTAGGGCACTCGTTACCCAAGCCTTATTGGTATAGTTGGCCCTTGATATCCACAGGAGACTGGTTCCACCACTCCCTTTCCCCCAAAATTCACAGATGCTGAAGTTCCTTATATAAAATGGCATAAAATTTACAGATAACCTAAGGATACCCCCCCATATGTTTGAATCCATCTCTAGGTAACACCTAGTAATACCTAATGCAACGTAAATGTTATGTAAATAGTTGTACTATGTTGTTTACAGAATGAAAAAAGGAAAAAAAAAGTCTACATATTCTGTACCAATGCAATCTTTTTTCTGAATATCTTCCATCTGCAGTTGGCTGAATACACCAAAGATGAGGAACCCAAGAAGATGGAGGGCCAACTATTTAGTATTGTCAGTGTTACTCCAAAGATACATTAGGAAAGAAAGACAAAAATAAAGGGAAACAATAAAAAGAGATGATTAGCTTTTTGTTTTGGTGGTACTGAGGTTTGAACTGAGGACCTTACACTTGCTAGGCAGGTGCTCTACCACTTGAGCCACAACCATAGCTCCTAGGTGATTAACTATTGAAACAGTAAAACCTGGCTCTTTTTGTCTGTCATAGTTGTCCCTGCTGGTTGGGGCCCATGGTGTCTGGAAGCTGAGATAGTACGCCTTCTTCAAAAGCAAAGGTGCTGAGCCACTTGGTCCGTTCACTGGGTTCCAGTTCCACGTTCTTTACTGCTGAGCCCTGGTGGTGTGCTTTCCTTACCAGTCTTGTGCTGAAGGAAAGCAATTCATTTCTCAAATAATAAATGGTCTTCACTTTCCCTTCCCCCTCATCATTTCCCTAGCTCATATGGCTCAGTTTTGCCCTAAAGTGACAGATTTTCAGCTTCTGTTTTTGTTTTTTTTCCAACTTTTTAATATGAAAACTTTCAAGTTTATATAAAATTTGCATGAATAGGAAAATAAATGCCCACCTATATTTCATTTAGATTCATCAGTCACTAACATTTTACAGTGGCGCGATCTCTCTGTACACTGTATATGTATGTACACACGTGGAGAGACAAGTATAGCTATGAATAACACACATTCTGTTCATATACTGGATACATACTTTTTTTGTTGAACTCTTTAAGAATCAGCTGTAGGTGTCATTTTTACATTTTACTTTAGCAATATCTTTTTTTATTTTATTTTATTTTTTCTTTTATTATTCATATGTGCATACAAGGCTTGGGTCATTTCTCCCCCCTGCCCCCACCCCCTCCCTTACCACCCACTCCGCCCCCTCTCTCTCCTCCCCACCCGCTCAATACCCAGCAGAAACTATTTTGCCCTTATCTCTTAATTTTGTTGTAGATAGAGTATAAGCAATAATAGGAAGGAACAAGGGTTTTTGCTGGTTGAGATAAGGATAGCTATACAGGGCATTGACTCACATTAATTTCCTGTGCGTGGGTGTTACCTTCTAGGTTAATTCTTTTTGATCTAACCTTTTCTCTAGTACCTGGTCCCCTTTTCCTATTGGCCTCAGTTGCTTTTAAGGTATCTGCTTTAGTTTCTCTGCATTAAGGGCAACAAATGCTAGCTAATTTTTTAGGTGTCTTACCTATCCTCATATCTCCCTGTGTGCTCTCGCTTTTATCATTTGCTCAAAGTCCAATCCCATTGTTGTGTTTGCCCTTGATCTAATGTCCACATATGAGGGAGAACATATGATTTTTGGTCTTTTGGGCCAGGCTAACCTCACTCAGAATGATGTTCTCCAATTCCATCCATTTACCAGTGAATGATAATATTTCGTTCTTCTTCATGGCTGCATAAAATTCCATTGTGTATAGATACCACATTTTTCTTAATCCATTCGTCAGTGCTGGGGCATCTTGGCTGTTTCCATAACTTGGCTATTGTGAATAGTGCCGCAATAAACATGGGTGTGCAGGTGCCTCTGGAGTAACCTGTGTCACAGTCTTTTGGGTATATCCCCAAGAGTGGTATTGCTGGATCAAATGGTAGATCAATGTCTAGCCTTTTAAGTAGCCTCCAAATTTTTTTCCAGAGTGGTTGTACTAGTTTACACTCCCAGCAGCGTAAGAGGGTTCCTTTTTCCCCGCATCCTCACCAACACCTGTTGGTGGTGTTGCTGATGATGGCTATTCTAACAGGGGTGAGGTGGAATCTTGGCGTGGTTTTAATTTGCATTTCCTTTATGGCTAGAGATGGTGAGCATTTTTTCATGTGTTTTTTGGCCATTTGAATTTCTTCTTTTGAGAAAGTTCTGTTTAGTTCACTTGCCCGTTTCTTTATTGGTTCATTAGTTTTGGGAGAATTTAGTTTTTTAAGTTCCCTATATATTCTGGTTATCAGTCCTTTGTCTGATGTATAGTTGGCAAATATTTTCTCCCACTCTGTGGGTGGTCTCTTCAGTTTAGAGACCATTTCTTTTGATGAACAGATCAGCTTCTGTTTTTGTAATCTAGAATATAACTTTTTGCACTGGAGTCTATTCTCATGTGCAACTGTGTTTTCTGCCATGTATTTATTTCCCCTTTTGGTTGACCAGATGGTGTCCCTCTGTTTCTTGAGCAGGTTAATTTTAATTTCTAACTTCCTTTAAACAATCAAGTATTGATGTCATCGTTTTTTTTTTTTTTTTCCTGATGCAAAGGGTTGTGCCTTCTAAGCCGGTGTTTGAGAAGTGGACCAGAAACTGCATTTTTGGAGAACGCGTTGGCCTCGGTGCAGTTCTAAGAAGTGGCCGCCAGGGGGCGGTGTAGGGAGAGGGCCCAAAGCGGTGAGCCTGAAGTTCCTCTTGACAGACACATGCGGCGGAAGCGGAAGTAGACACGTGAGGCGCTCTATGGTGGCCGAGGGGGTGCGGCGGTCGCGTTAAGTTTCATTGTACATGCAAGGCTTGCAGGTGCAGGCAACGACATTTCTCTAATCCGAGTCCCGAGGAGGGCGCCCGGC